CGGCGCCAGACACCATCAGGGCAATTAAAGGACTGCATGCGAATTATGTGATCTTCCTGAACTTCATATGAGGGTCAGCGCATATAATCACGGTTCTGCTTTGCTTTTCTCTGTCGTACCCGTCCCCGTTTGACTATGTGCATATAACCTGTTTGCTTTTATGTAACTCCCACCACCAGAACCAGGCCAATGGTTGTTTATCACTAGATTCCCAGCACTTAGCAAAGTGCTGGTATTTAGTAAGTGCTCAATATAGCAACAGATACACTGAATAACTGCTAAGAATGATGTCCACAATGAATGGATAATTAGTCCTTTTAATGTAGAAGGAAAATTATTACACATGGCCAGTGGCCCTTCAACCAGAACAGATGGCTTACTTGGCAATGGAACATATTAAAAACCTCACCTCTGGCTTGATATGGGGTCTTGCCTTAATGCCCAGGCTGGCCTTGATCTCAGTTATCCTCCTGCTTCAGGTCCAGAGGACTGAATTAGAAGTATGTGCCAGTGTGCCTGGCAGTGAGAAGTCCTCTTGATGTGCATTTCCTGGGTGTTCCTCAGCCCCAGGAAGCAGCCTGCTCTGCTTGCTCCCAGAAAAGTCATGAAGACTTACGGTATCGGTGATGAGCATGAGGGGGAACTAAGAAACAAAACCAAAACCTTGCCCAAAATAACCACAATAAAAACCTCAAACCTCCGTGGAGAACAGTCCCGCTTGGAGGCCTCACCACAGTAAGTGTGCAATTAGGGCTATTTCTGTGTGCACTCAGGGTGAGCCCAGGACCTCACATGTGCTCTACAAGGACTTTTTCAGTGAGCTAGGCCAGAGATCAAATTCGCCATCCTCCTGCAGCTGTCTCCTCATTTCTGCAGTGTCTACACTGATGTCAACAACGAACCCCATCTACCTCCCAGCCATATTCCGGGGGTCATCTCGGAGGCGTTTCTCCTCTTACACCAAGTCTAGAAAGACCTTCCGTCATTACCACCTCAACTCTGCCTTCATTAATCAACCTTGATAAGAAATCTGTACTGAGCACCTCCTGCATGTCAGGCTCCCTGCCAGTGCTGGGCTATGCTGAACAAGAAAGATACAGGCTTGGTCTCAGAGCCTACAGGGGAAGCCAGTAATCACATAAACAACCATACAGAAGGGAAAGGCATGTTGATGATGTACAAGTCCAGAAGACTGCAGAATCCAACTGGCGGAGGAAGCCATGCTTAACTCCAAGTTCAGGCCCCACTGGGGAATCAGAATGCACAAGAGTTTCTGACTCTGTGCACAAGAGTCAGAAAAGCATCACAGGATCAAACACACAAGTGACACGCCTGGTTCCATCAACCTCCTTCATTTAACTGTAAATTCCACGGAGCAAGAAGCTCGACTTAGCTTTCCTCCATTCCCCCTGCACCATGCAGGCAATGCGTTTTTGCTGAGTGGCGGGTGAAGTTGCCTCAACTGTACACACGGCCTTACTTCTTGTCTAGGAGGCGCCCATGCCATCTCACAGAACTCTGAGATGACCAAAAGAGACCAGTGAGGCTGCATAGTGGGAGTCAGTTCTCTCTCCCGCCCCTTCCCTCACACACCTGCAGAGCAGAAACACAGTTGTTTCTTCCCTGCTGGTTAGGGCTTGTCATTTTGATAGTGACCACCCAGGTGACCAAGGGGCTGGACCAGGGATCTGATGATGGGTTCTGAGTTACTCCAGTTCTGGCCATCATTGTGAATTTACAGACTGAGTGGCTACTGTCAAGAGGGATTACCAGTCTGACGAACGGCAGCTGCTGGCTTACATGCTTACAATGAGATATTTATCGTAAGCACTGTTACCTACAGCCATGGCTGCTACTCACTCTGGCTCCCTTAGGGAAGTGTCCTCTGCTGAGTCGCCGGTGGCGAGTGCTTGTAGAACTTGTCTCTCCACCAGACGGCCTGTGTGCTTTTGTGCCTTGCCTTTGTGTTTCAGGAAATGTGTCTGGCAAGGCTCAGTCATTCACGGATTCTAAGAGGTGGAGCTCAAGACTGGGCTTGGTTCTGCTTAGCTCTACATTGTGTGTATCCTGCCATTTCAAGCCGCTCCCTTGCCGGAGGTCTTGAAGTACACTCTACAGAGTCTTCCCCACCCCGGGGAGCTTGGTTCTACCAGCTCTTCCCCATCACCAGCACAGACCTGGAGGCTGCCAACCTCTGCTGCCCACGTCTCCCCCTCCTAACCACCCACTCTCCATGCAGCGGCCTGACCTAGCTTTCAACACACCTAGCAGATGATGCCACTGCCATTCGGGGCCCCTGTTGTAACATGAAGGGAAGGCTTGTTGGGGTTTCTGTCCTGCCCGACCCCCAGTTGTTTAGTCCCAGAGAAAAATCACACAAAGGACTCCGTAAGTTATAAAGCTGATTGGTCCTTTAGGTCAGGCTACTTATTAGCTAACTCTCACATCTTGATTAACCCATTTATCTGATCTATGTTAGCCATGTGGCTCAGTACCTTTTTCAGCGGAGCAGCTCACATCCTGCTGCTTCAGTAATCTGGGCAGGAGTGGGAAGAATCAACTTCCTTCTCCCCAGAATTCTCCTGCTCTCCTTGCATCATTTCCACTTCTTGTCTGGTTTCCCTGCCTACACCTCCTGCCTGGCCAATCAGCATTTATTTAAAACATGACTGACAGAATACAGACAATTCTCCCGCACCCTGTTATCTGGATCAGCTCTGTATATCAGCACAGGAAGAGCTCGGCCTTCCACACTTTCTCCAGCTTGAGAGCTGTTTTGGAGCTGTCCCTCTGACCAGTGTGCTCTTCCCTTGGGCTGCAGCATTCTCCTCCATCAGTGTCAGCTTAAACACTGCCTCCTAGGGCCACCTTCTCTGCTCCCTTAAGTAACGCTCCAAACATCTCTGCATTTGCTGTAGACCTCATCTGATCTCTCTCTCTCTCTCTCTCTCTCTCTCTCTCTCTCAAACAGACTACTGGTCTTAAATGAAAACTCATACTAGAGTAGGTATTTTATTTTTTGCCTTCCTTGAAATACAGATAGTACCTAAAACAGAGAGAACAGTTAGCATCTGATGATTATGAGATCTTGATGGGCACATGATTCATCATCTCAACAAGCAAGCAGGCAGTGAAAATATAGAAAGCATAGGGCATTACTTAGTGCCTTTTATGAACAACAGGGACCATGCTTTATTTGACTATCAACCACAGCCACTCACATAGATCCTACAAACAGAGCTCACTAGACTTCCTAAATGAAGAAATGATGTGGTCTGTGTCTTACCACCAACTGGAATACATGTTGAGCAGGACTTGATCGTTCCCTTTAATCCCAGCACCCAGGAGACAGAGGTAGGTGAATCTCTGAGTTTGTGACCAATCTGGCTTACATAGCTAGATACAGGCCAGCCAGAGGTACACAGTGAGACCTTGTCTAATGTTTTTGTGTGCACCGCTCAAACACGCAAGCATGTACACATGTACTCACACACGTACATGAGCACTGAGCCAGGCCTGGTGGTTCATGCATTCAGTCCAAGCTCTAGGGAGGATGAAGCAGGATTACCATCGTTTAAGGCAAGTCTGAGCTACATTATGAGACCTTTTTCAACAAAATAACAACATAAAAGAAAAGAAACACATGTATACTGCGAAATATTAAAGAGGACGACTTGGCCTCTCCACAGATTTAAGAGTTACTGAAGGTGGGGATACCCTTACAAGGGTAGAAAGCTGCTTAATGATGGTCAACTATTAGGAGGGAGATCAGACATTCTTTAGTGGAAAACAATCTAATGTGTGTGAGCATTCTGCCTGCATGCATGTCTGTTCTCTGCATACGGCCACTGCCACCACGCACTGAGGACCTGTTCTATTCCAGGTACCCAGTTCTGACACCTCATTGACTGCTCACAGTAGTCCCAATGCAGCCATTACCTCTTCCCTTTTACAGACGAGGAAACAAACACAGATTAAATAAATTGCCCAAGTTTATATAGCTACCAAATGACAGAAAAGCATCCTGAATGTTTATTTTTAGAACTCAAAAGTATGTTTTTCCATTATGTTCTGAGGCTGCAAAAGCCTTTAGGATGTCCCTCTGTCATTGTGTTCATCAACTGTATTTTTGAGTGAGTATTCTTTACCTGAACCAGGCACAAATGTTAGCCACAAAAAGTGATGACGTTTTTTTGTTTAGAAGTATGTCCTTGGTACCGTTTCAGTCTTAAAGCATCGATCCCACTCAGTGATAGTGTAATTAGTTGTGATTGGCATCAATTAGGTTACTGAATCCCAGAGAAGCCCAGTGTTTGGGTTCTGACTAGGAGCGAGGCACTAATGTTCTAGTCACAGGTCTGTTTTTCAAAGGGCAAAGCAATTTATCTTTTTTTAAAAAAAAGGAAACAAAAATGTCAGTGGGTAGGGAGTTCCTTTTAGGGGTGATTAAAATATTCTAAAATTAGATTATGGTGATGGTTGTACAATTCTGTGAACATGTTAGACTGTTCAAGTGTAGACTTTAATGCGCAGATTTTATGGTATATGAATTGTATCATAATAAAGATGTTTTTCAAATGGCACATGAGAGATTTGATTGCTCAAGTTTTAATTATCTAAAGAGACACTAATAGAATAAAAATAGAATCATTTTAACATTTTATGTTTTTTTTCTGTATTTACCCTAAATGCTAAATGTCAGTTTGCTTAATCACTACATATGTATATATAAGTATACATATATTAATTACACTATATATGACAGCATATAAAAAGAAGTAAATCCAAAGTTCATGCAAAACTTATAGACATCTAGACAGACGTGTAAAACCAGGCGACAATCACACATTCAATAGGACATTAGTCACAGGCCTTCTTTAAGGTTCAGTGACAGAAGTGGCTGAGAACTAACGACACTCCACAGAACACTTTCCAGGACTCCATTCAACTTCAGAGCGGAAGTTACAAGCCCTCCCGTGAGACATATAAGGTCCCTTTACCTTGTAACAAGAAACCAAGCCAGTTTACTGAAATCTGATGAAGGCCTCATGTACGTCTTAATATGTGGCATGGCGTTGCTTCGGCCAGATGTCTCTGCTGACCACTTGCTAGTGACAGGAGAGACGTAAACCACTATTAGAAAATAATTCAAGATAGACAAAATTCTTATATACTATCGAACTGCATGAAAAGCAACATCCTATCTAAGGAGACAGTAGAGCATGGCCTGTGACCTGTGGTGGCTGATGGAACTTTTTAGATGACAGAAGAATATACAATCATTCTGAAAAATAAGGATGTCAAAAAAGGAAATTTAGCATGAGTCACAAAAGCATCAAACCCTGGGGCATGGAGTTTCTTGTCCTTTCACAAGCTAACTAGCACACATGTGTACACAGTCTCTGGCTGTGAGCTCTTGGAAGCAGGAAGCCTACAGTGCCCTATAAGGCAAACTACTGAGTAGCGGCTCCCACAGAGGTTACCCAAAGGAACAAAGTGAGTGAAATACAATATATCACAGGGGAGAGCTAAAAAGGCAGGAAGATCACTCACAAATGCTTCAGTTTTGGCTTTGAGTATAACTCTTACACTTCCAACATTTGAGGACTAGGGTTCTAAGGCAATATGGTCTTCGTCATGAGGCCATGATTCTGGCTTGGAAGAGAATTAATCCCTCAAGCTAACAGGCAGTATGCCAGCATAGAATCAGGACTACGAGGGCCCCCATTTTCTTCATCAGAGGGAACCTAGGAGTTTGAAACTGAAAGGAACACACTACAGCCTGCTCTGCAAGGACAACTCTCTTTTTGGGGAGAACATGACAGAAATGCAGCTGGCCAACAGGAGTGTCAGCAGAAAGCAATGGAAATGGACTCCCCACCCCCCATTTCTGGCTGCCCAGCTGCAAAAGCCCCTACTAAAGTGAATAAGACATTGGGGTTGGTCTAGAACATTCGGGAAGGCAAGTGCTGTCGATGGAAGAGGAGAAGGACAAGCCTTTCCTTCCCTTCCCAACCATCACCTCTTTCACCAAACACCGTCTTTCTCCCGGAGACAGAGGCATGGACTCTACCCTCGGTGAGCGTGGCACATGGCCTACATATATAGTTGAGATGGTTATACTTCACGCTTCAGCAAAGTGAACGAAACGCTGCTTATGTAAACCATAAACTACAGGATCTCTTATTTATCTTTTTCTTTGCCTGCCAATATTTAAATAGAAACCTCACAGAGATAAATTTTACTCTGGTATTAAAAACCTATTCCAAAAGTTTTCAAACCCTTGTTTTAAATTATTTCTATCACTAACATATGTAGATGAAAGAATAGCCGTGTTACATAAGGTGCTTTTTAAAAGAACAGACCGACACAACACTCTTGGTCCTGACGAAGTGAGAGCAGCATTGAGAACCAACTACTTACTGAAAGTAGGTATGCAGCCAATTCTGTTTTTCAGCTGTCTGGATGCTATAGGGAAGGGAGCCCCCAGCTTTTAAAAGAAGGAAAAGAAAGCAAATAAAAATAGTGAAATATAATTTGAGGCATGCCATTAAGAAGATCTCTCTAAACCGCCTTCCATTATTTCATCTCAAGTCATAGTTGACTGAAAGAAAATGTCCACGCTTTCACCAGACACGTCCCCTCTCTGTCTGTCTGTCTTTCTGTCTTTGTACTCCCACAGGCCAGGCAAGGCCCTGCTACTGAGCTATATCCCCTGCGCTCTTTATGGTCTCACAAAGTTGCCTCAGCTGGCCTGGATCTCACTCTGTAGGCCATGGTGGCCTTGAATTTGTGATCCTGCCTCAGCCTCCAGAGTAGCTGGGATCAAAGGTCTATACTACCAGCACCTAAATTAGGGACAATCTCTTTGTGGCTTCCTTTCTCTGGAAGGGGAGACACATAAACAGTTTACTGTCTGAGAAAAAAAGGTACCAGTTAGTTACACAGACTTGAAGTATTAGAAAAGACCACAGGGAGAACCTGGGCCTGCTTTACAACCACAGGGAGGTATGAAACACAGTGCTAGGTTTTTGTCCTCAGTAGGACATCTGGGAAGGTGGTGAGTGACAGAATCCAGTGCTGTCTACACTCCCTTTACACTGCATTTCCAAACAGGCAGGCAGGGAGGGCCTCAGAACTGGAAGATATGACAAAATCCACTGTAGATTCACCAGTGATTTTCTAAACACACCTCAGGATGTCTCCACAGTAATCTATGTGCAGAGAGGGCCTTAGACAATTCCAGGGTTCAGTAAGGTATGTCTTATCTCCTACTGCAAATACCTAAAAACATATTCCACTGCAGAACCACTTATAAAAATGCTTCCTTGAGAATGCCACGTTCTCCCCTTTAAAACTGCACTTTGAATAGACCTAGGCTATTAGAAGCACAGAAAGAAAAACTACCCATGTCTCAGAGTCAAAGTGAAGTAATTTTATTTTGTCATTAAAAGGAAACAAATGACAAATAAACTCTGAACCTTATTGAGATTCTTTTGGCAAGGTCACATCTAATTTCATAAGCAATAAATGGGCAAAATTAGTTTTAATTTAGTGCACTCTGCTACCAGCCAGTCCTGAATGCCAATCAGACTTGGTTTCTTTCAGAGGCATACTCTCTGGGGTTTTTTTTAATAACCTGGTGGCATTATAGAGGATGCTTCTGTTTAAAAGTTCAGTCTCAGTAGTGGAAAAAGAGAAGAATGAAGTTGAGAGATTTTTTTTTCTCCTAAGAAAATAAGACTAGGCATTTGCAGGCAAGGCCCCTGAAAAATGATAGATCAACAAAGTTATACAAAAGGTAATAATAATCACTAGCTCTAGGCCTGAAATGTAACTGTATCTTGGAAAGTAAATTTGGAAGGGCTATGTGGAACCTCTGACACGGGCAGAGGGGAGGATGCTGGCCAAGCTGTCAAGGCAGCAGGGAGTGCCAGGGGAGCTCAGTTCGGCCAGACATCTTGTCTCGACAATCAACATGTTGGATTACTTCTAAATAAGCATCAGTAAAACTGAGGGACGGCATGGGAGTCACTATGACAGCGGTGCAGCGAGCCTAAACTGGCCTGCTCTGGAACATGCTGGGCTCAACAACCTCGTTGAGCTTTATCTGGATGAGGGAAAACCATTTCCACATTGCTAACCAACTCTGATGAAAAAATAAAGAAAACAAAACATGCCCCAAGGCATTTCAGAAATATCCAGAGAAACCACCACCCAGTTACCAGGGTATCCTTCTAGGCTGGTCCGCACGTTTTCCACAGAAGGATAGATCTAAAAATAAGCAAGAAAAGAGAAAAACAATAAACCTTGGCATGAATCAGGTTGAAAGAAAGGAATGTTGACTTGTTCTTCTTTAAAAATGGAAATGTTAATGAAAAATATTTAACAAAAAAACTTAGAAAGAAATTACATCTTAAATTAAAAGAAAATAATCCCCATCTTACCAGAAAACTAAACGAGTAATAACTAATCTACAGGAAGCATGTATCTAACTTATGAAAAATTATACTTTAATTTAAATGTTTTTCTCTCTGAAATGACAATTAATATTGAATTGAATGCAAAATTAATCATCAATTCACAGGTCTCTACACAACAAACAGAGCATACAATCCTTTGCAGTGGTAAACCTGGCATTTCTCCCCTTGGCTTGACAACTTGAAAGAAGAATGAGAAAACACAGGGAGTCCGTGTCTGTACCGAGGCTCCTGAACACGCCAGAAGCCCTCGCCCTGGGTGGCACTAGGCCCACAGATGGTGTTCCCTCCCCACCCCAGATTAACGCACTGTGATAAGGAAGGCTGCTTCTTAGTTCTTTTGGACCACAGAGGGCTCACCAGATGAAGAGGGACTGCACTTTTCCCTGGAGTTCTGCCATCTTCTCTCAGTGACAGCAAGCTCTCTTTAAACTCTGAGCACAGCCACTTGGACTCATCAGGCCCCAGAGAACCAATGCTTGAAAACTGACCCACGATGGGCCAGCACTCGTCTTTAGGCACAGATGGGGCATGCGCTTGCAGAACCTGCTCCAAAATAAAAATGAGTGCAACAGTCACAGCAGCAGCAATAGGAACTGAAGTGCCCTAAACACATGGAGTCTTTGGAATGACCAATTTACAAGGAAACCCTGAAGATACTAGGAGTCAGCAGCATGCACATAGATGCTTTCTTCTTTGGGAACTAAGTTTAAATACCAAAAGTATGTGTCCCCTCCACATCCCACTATGCTGTGGTAGTCTGAATATAATTGGCCCCCATCATCTTGTCGGGACTGTTAGGGGGTGTGGCTTTGTTGGTGGAAGTATGTCACTGTTGTCTGCAAGATGTAGGACTCTCTGCACACTGCCATGCTCCCCACCATGATGATAATGGACTGAACCTCTGTAACTACAGGCGAGCCACCACAATGTTTTACTTTAAAAGAGCTGCCATGGCCATGGTGTCTTCACAGCGATAGAAACCCTAACTAAGACATATGGACTTTTAAAATTCTTTGATTTGCACTAAAAACAAAAGCAGAATAAAACATTTTCAAAGACCCATCTTAGCAGAAATATGAAGATAAACATACTCTGAAATCACACCTGTCTAATATACCTAAACTAAACCGACATGAGTAACCATTGTCCATTCCGGCCCGCTCCCTTTCTAGCTCTCACCTGAGCACTGTGCTCCAGGGTTGGGGTGCAGCTGCAGAGTGGTAGGTAGGCTTAGCCTAGCATATGCAAGGGCCTGAGGGGTGTGGGGGTGGGAGCACAGACAAATCCTTGGCCTCCAGGGTGGCTGCCTAATATGAAAGGGATATTTACACACGGATATGAACCACCTACAGCACAGCAGACAACTGATCTGCATTTCCTGCCTTGACACTTATGCAAACCTGAAGGAATAACTGAGCAAGTATTTAGAAATTTTATCCACTTAAACATGTACTACCTAGAGGCGGCAGACAGCAAGAAGAATGTGGACAGCTCCTGCCCTAGAGGAACTCATATTCTGACTGACATTTTGTTGAATTAATATGTATTACCTTTTCGTATTATCTTCCTTTCCATGGCTCAGGCAATAATATTCACACATGCGTGTGCATGCATCATACACACACACACACACACACACACACACATGCACGCGCACACACACCTCTCAGTTTCCATGTACTGCAGCATGCTGTAAGAAACAGAACTGAACTGACAACTCTCAGACCCAGTATCCATCATGGGCTCAGCTCCTGAAAAACTCCAAATCCCGGGGAAAGCACCATTAGACTCACTCCTGCCTCAGCGCATATATTCTAATTTGCCTGCTTGCTCTGGAACTAAGCTACAGCACAGCATGAGCTGTGAGGAGAAGTGTTTTGAACACTGCAGATGTTGCTCAACCTGCAGGATTTGTGAGCACACAAGTGAATTCTGTTACCTAGGCTGGACACCAAGTGCCAGCCCCCAAGCCCCTGGACACCCGCTACTCAACACAGTTCTGTCCATTTCACAGCCGACAAGAGGCAGGCTGAGGAAGAAGACCACAAGGCGTGTATAGCACAGGCTGGGATTTGAACCACCATCACAAATGAAAAGGGAGAAAGAATACACATTACATTATTTTAAATGTTAAAAAGGAAAAGTTTTATTACCTTCCTAAGCCTAAAATGTCCCCAGTTATCTTTATGACTTCCTTGAAAGCGTCCAGGGGTTGAACCGACAAGGTAAACACTAAATAAAGTAAAATACAATGAAGTAACGTGCAAGTTGTGCTATGATGCCACAAACCCACAGAAAACACATAAGGACTAACACAATGGAAGAGGTCAACGGGCCAGTTCATTCTAGGGCCACGCCTCCTCAGCAGGCACTGCTGCTCTGAAGCTCCTTGTTAGCTAAACCAGTTAATAAGGTGCCAGGCAAAGAACTCAGAAATGCTACCAGTACCCAAGCGGGAGGCATAAGACCCACTGCCACCTTAATGCCTGTGAACCAGAGCCATGGAGTGGTCGGATCTGCTCTCATCCCCTCACCCTCCCATGCAGTACAGTCAAATACCACTCCTCCCCTTCCCCAGGCCCCGGCCTTCCAGACTTTTATGGCAACTTCAGCTTCCCATACTGGTAAGGGGACACATACTTGGTTTCAGAGAGATCGTGTTCTTGAATGGCGTCTATCCACTCCTGGAGAGGGGGAACATTGTACGCCCTCAAATAACTGATGAGGTCAGCTTTAAAGTGGGTGCTTGACTCTCCGGATGTGTGGTTTTCCTGGTCAACTCGTGGGTACAAAGGGCTCAACCATATTCTAGAATGAAAAAAATATACCCTTTAATTAACATCAGGAGCTTTCATTGTAACAATGCCTCTGTAATGATTATGCATTCACCCAAAGTGAGAGGCGAATTCCTGCCACTGTCTTTACATGGTGACTAAGTGACTTCTGGCAGGAGGAAACAGATTTGATCACATTGATCCAATGACTCCTCTTACAGAATTATTTCTCTTTATGTAAAACCAGGTCCTTATCAGTGTAGCTCTTTAGCCAAACTAAGAATCAAAAGCTATCCATACCAAAAAAAGTATATGCAAGTTTATTTTCAGCAAGAATTTATTTTTTTAAAAAATATAATGTACATTCTATAGTGGTTTGAGATATTTTCATGTCTTATAGATTCTGTGCCTGGAATGAATACATAACACATTTAACATTAGCTTCGAACTGCTAAGCATTTAACAGTGATAAGGCATTAGATGACTTTCATCTCAGAAATAATCATAAACCCAAAAGATACAATAGAATATGATATAAGTAGATTACAAAAACAGTAAGGCTTTGTGCCTCTAGAATTAGATGTTCTTCAATGCAAAACCAGATTAGGAGTTCTGCCCTTTCTACGCACATGCCTATCACTTGCACAAGAAGAAAAGCAAAAAGAAAAAGGAATGCAAATAACATTTGCCTTTGCCCTTTCCCAGCATAAAGGCCTGCCACGCAGGGCCCTACCGACCCTTGGGTTTTCTGGTGCCAGTCTTCCCGGATGAGGTTGGAGGTGTGGATGACAACTCGGAGGCCTTCTTCGTAGAGCAAGAGCATCATTTTCCTTCAAAAAGGGGGAGGTGAACAAAAGCATGAACAGAATTTTCCAAATAAACAGGTTTCTAACAAGAATGCAAGAAACAGCTGGAGGGATTCTTAACCTTCTATATTATTATAAATTTAAATTATTATAAACCCCCCTTCTATAGAAAGCCATCCTCCAAAAAGGATCAGAATATCTGGGGGTCATGAACTCACATCCCTTCACTAGTCCCTTAGAGTCCACGGTTATCATTTCATTATGATGGACCACAGGGCCATGCCCTGTGCAGGAGGACATCCTGCTGTTAACAGGCTAGCCTGCTTCCAACAACTGACGCATGTATGACACGGGTTTAAAGTATCTGTTCAGGAGCCTGTTTCAGCCGGTGGCTGTGTGCACACATGCAGTGTACTGAGAATGTAAAATGTATTTCTTACTAATGTTGCAGTTGGAAGATTGCGAGATGCCCTGTCCTCGTCAGACATGTGTTCCATGTGCCATACTTGTCACCACTGTGTACCTGAGCTTAAAGCAAGTCTCTTTCCTCCTCCATGAACTCAAGGGAGACCGGACTGAGCCCTCTCCTTCCCGTGGGGCGTCTTGCATCACTAACATATTTTTCTTAACTTTACTTTCAGTGAGAGAGGACAGGAGATATACACAAGAGCTCTCAATGTGAACTCTAAAGACAGGAGCGTGTCCTTTAGAAGCCACAGGAGTTTTGGCAAACCATTCAGTATGCCTGAGCCTCCTCTTTTCACGTGGACCATGAAGGGTCAACCCCGACTTGGGACTGAAGACGATGAAATCAAAGCCCACAATGGAAAGGTTAAATAAACACTTGGGCATTCATTCCTGTTGGGTGCCCTGCTTTATTTTGTAACTCAGTGTTGGGTGACTTTTATCTCCAGAGTGTACCCAGTCACTAAGGGACTTCAGTCTTCTCTCCAGAACTACAATGTCACTTCTCAAGGCTGTAATGCTTGTCTTAGCTTTTTTTTTTTTTTAATGGTTTCCTCTGAGGCCAAATGCTACTTCTTACTAGCCTATGTACCTCAGTAGACACATGTGACAACAACAAGCCTGTTTCTCCCCAAATGAGCCACTCCACCAGTTGAAGCTACACTGGAGGAGGCATATAAAGGTGAAGGGAAAGGCCAGGCATGGTGGCACATGCCTGTAACTCTAGCAACTTGGGAAGCTGTGGCAGAATTGTGCCTGTGATGAGTTCTGGGCTAGCCTGGTAGGTTTTGGACCTTGTGTGACTGTGCTCTGGTGTGACTAAGGTCCTGCCTCTTGAAAAAGATAACCAAGTAGGGGAAAGGAAGGATCAGAAGAGAGAATGAGATATTTAATTCTTAGCAAAAGGAGAAAATAATTCAAGCGGGCAGACAATAAATTAATGCAAGGCTCAAGAAATGACAGCTGCTGAGCTATCTGCTCTGTAGTTATGAAATGCGGTCCCTGAAATCTGGACAAATTGACACACACAGTTGCCACATTAGCAGCTGATTATAATTAAGGATAAGCTAGCTAGGGTCTCATGATAGAAGCTTTACAAATATTTCCATTAATCAAGGCATCAATTACGAAGAAATCATGTATCAATGTCAGTGAATCCTATCAAACAGAATTAAGAATTAATTTAAGGGGAGACATATTAATCTTTTCATTGACAACATTATGTGTGTTAGTAAGGTCACAGTTAAAAATATAGGGAGATAAGGAATGAAGTCTCCCCCAAAAGGTGGACCCACAGTACTGGCCCTAAGCAGTGGGGTAGCAAAAGGACTGCTTCCTAAATGTGAAGGTGTGCTGTGAAGAAGGGAGGATATGCACGCCAGGTGCCTCCATTCCAGGCACTGTTTTAGGATGCTCTAGCATGTGTCAAGACAATGCCAAGAAGAAGCAATTCTCATTTAACAACTGCAGAATCTGCGGCTGGGGGAAGCGATATTATCTAGGTCACCAAATGAGCCTGTAGAAGAAGGCTGAACTCACCCACGCCCACAAACCAGGGCACTGTGTGTAGGGCACACAGCCAGAGGTGAGACGGTGAACATTTTATGCTACTAGAAAATGAATGGGAGAAGCGGGCTTGATGAGAAGGGTGGCCAGCTGGAGAAGTTGGCGGGGAGCAATAAGCCCCAGCAGGCTGTGGCTGGGCCATGCTTAGATGAGGACATGGTCTATTCAGTAGCTTTGGCTTTGTTCCCCAACTCTGGGGAAACCAAAAAGTTTTCCCATTCTAAAGTACCAAGTAACACACTGTGCCTGGGACTGCCGTGCGCCCTATGGGCTCTGCACAGGGTACCCATGGCCTGGTCAATGCAGGCTTGCTCAGGCGTGTTGTCATCCCAGGATGCACCACAGCCACTGTTGTCAGCTCCAGACTGTGAAGACGGTGTCTATCTCCTCGCCACAGCCGGGCTTTCTCTTTTTCTACCTCACATGCTATGGTCGGTGCGCTCACTAAAGATGGAAAGTTGTGAGGACAAAATGACGTCCTCCAGACGTGACACTCAAAAACATTATAGATATTGATGAATACTTTTTGTCACTTTTTGGTGAGACGGGGATCTCATGTAGACTGGTCTTGAACTCCTGACCCCTGTCTCAGCCTCCCAGGAGGTAGGATTACAGGCATATGTGTGCTGTCTCCCCTGGACTGACGAACAATTCTTAAAGTAACAAACGACCCAAATCTCCAGACACGAGTTCGTCCTTTATAAGACACTCCCTACCTCGGAGTGGACCTACTCCAGTAACTCCTCCGAACTGAGAATGGCTGGATTTAACCTACAAAATGCACAGGTGTGAGCTGCTCTGAGGAGCAAGGGCTGAATGAGGCAGAGCAGATACAAAGTCAGTTGTAGCAGTGGGCAAACAAAGAACACATTAGAAACTAAAGTTAAAAGGGAGTCCAATTCCTATTTTCATCCCCAAGGAAAATCAACTCATTTATTCTGAGCCTGAGTTTTCTGGCCTATGATATTAAAAGGATCAATAACTAATACCAGACTAGTCAATAGAACTCATTTTTGCTAAATCACAGAACTTTTGAGAAGCAGGGATGTCGTAAGTACTGACTTGAGTACACAGAATCACCTATGATCACAAGGGCCACGCTTGTAACTCTGTGCTCCCAAGCAGCCACACCAAGTGAAAGGCAGAGACCCCTGAGTCACAGATTCACGCGTCTATGCTGAATCTTGGGATCAGCCCGCAAAGCTCCTTGCTCGTATCCTGTGGCCAATTAAAATCATACCTTCCCCCAATTCATCAAAGTTGCTTACGTGTGGTGTGTTCCAAATGCAATATCCAACTTTGCCTAGGACAGAAAGAAATAATTGATTTTAAAAGTCTCACTTAATATTTACTATTTCTATTCGTGGCTACTGGAAATTAAGGGGAAGGGACCCAAGACAACTTAAGAAAAAAACTGTTTTACTGCCCTCTATTGGACAAACAAAAGACAGCTTTTTTGTTTACTTTTGCTTGTTTTGTTTTTGTGGGGTTTTTTAAGACAGGGTTTTTCTGTGTAGCCTTGGCTGTATTGGAACTCACTCTGTAGACCAGGCTGATCCACCTGCCTCTGCCTCCCATGTGCTGGGATTGAAGGTGTGCACCACCATCTGGCAGAAGACAGCTTTTCTTTTAGCACCCACTAAGGCTCATTTAAAACACTTTTTTTGTTATCCCACATGATTTAATAAATACCACATTTTAAACTACAGTAATTATGAGTGAGAAGCCTAATTTCTTTAGCTGCCAAAAACCTAATAAAATAAGTATGATTCTAAACAAAATTTTAAATGAGATATTTTGCTTCTGCTGAAAAATTAAGGTGAATAGTTTTAAGAATACTTTTAAAACAGCATCAAACGTGAAGGCAACATAGAGACATCATGATGCTAAATTAAAAGAGAATGTTTCATACAAAGCTAGCACACGCTGGAAGGAAATGATGCCAAAGCCACCTTGTACTCCGGAATGACATCTTTACAAGGAAGTGTAGGTGTGTTGAGAATAAACATTTTATCTACCATCTTGCACAACAAGACATCGGTCAACAGAATATGCCGGAAAGAACAGGTTATGGGATAAACAAGCAGCTGAGTGATCAGTTTAGGAATATACGACCTGGGCTCGAATCTTGCCTCATATTTGCCTGACTTTGGGAAAAACTTTCACTCTCTGCTTTGCTCTTGCGTCTTTAAAATAGGCTATTGCTATGAGACTCGGAGTTGCTGGGAGAGGATGGGAAAGGACACACGAGTGCTTAGGAAAGAGGCATGTCTGCTGTAAGCAAGACAGACATGTGAACATTCAGGGAGCCCTCCCCACCACATGGTGGAAGGACAGGGCTGGTTGCTAGGGACAGAAATGGAAGACTGTTTATATGCAAGCAGGTACAACACAGTTTGCAGGCGCTCCTGAAGGTCCGTGCAGCTTGGGGGACATGGGTAGACCAGCATGTGTCTGTGCTTTTTGGCCAGAGAAGAAAGCTATAAACTGTGCTTCATGTCTTTACAATCACAGAATTACTCTATCATCTTTTTCACTGAGAGGGAACAGTGGTTAGGAGAGCTGGCTTCTAAATTTAGTTTGGTCACACGCTCCATGCTTTTAGGCACAAACAACGGACCGAAAGTAACTTCAATAGATACTCTTTAATGCGTGCTTTTTTGGGCTAATGCACCAGCTCTTTCAAACGCTGTAATGAATGCCATTAGCAATCCATTTTATACATGGACAAATTAGAGTTAAACAAATGGAAAGTGACAAGGCCAGAGTGAGCATCGTGGAAGGAACCTTCATGCCATGCCCATCCTCCAACTCACAGTCAAAGCTGAAACCCACGTGGGTCCGGGCTAGTGAGAGGGACATGACGGTGGTAAGTAAAATCAAAGTCATGGGAAATGGGGGGAGGGGACCCGATACAGTCAGTGTCCTCGTAGATACCAGAGAGCTAGTCCACCCCCACCTCTCTCTGCCATATGAGGATACCATGAGAATACAGCCATCTACACGGCAGGCAGGAGGAACCTTTATCAGGAACCGGAGTGACCTGCACTAGGACTCAAATTCTCAGCTCCCTAGATATCCGTTATTTAAGCTGCCCAATATCAAAATAAAAATGTTTTCTATCTAGGAATGTTGTACAGATGCCCAGGCATAGCCGAGAGGCGGAACTCAGGCCAAGTGACCCTTTGCTACCACCATCACCTCAATTTCCAACCCTTGCACCAAATCTATGCCCAATTGATTCCTTGATGAATGCTATTACCAGAAAAATTCAAGATGGAAAGGTACTTCAGTATGAAAGGCCATGATTCTCCGGTCTCCCTCTAGACCAGAGGCGCTCCAGTAGGGTTCCTTGCACAGGATTGTGCAAAGCGTGTCTTTGCGCCCTCTAGTGGCCATCCTACTCTCAGGTAGCAGGCTCCCTAAACCTGGTGTTGGGTAGAGGCTGTGTGAAGACTATTCCACCACGGGCTTTGAGGATTCCTGGGTTAGTTTACTTTTCGTTTACTTTCCACCTCTTCTGTTGGTGGAAATCAAAGCAAACAACAGAATTTTAGGCAACTTCTAAACAAAGGCATAAAGTTCCCTCTGTGCATCAGATGAACCACAAATACTTGTTGTGGGAGAGGATTTTCTTAGTGATATTGAGGTTAGAACCCAGGGCCTTGTGGACGCTAGGCAAGCGCTCTAGCACTGAGCCACAGTCACAGTCCAGAAGACACGATTTGAAGCCATAGTGACATGATGGAAAATGGGTTAAACCAGAGAAAAATGCTGTGGGGTATTTAAAAGTGACCTAATGCCTTCTGTTTAAAACAAAATCATTGATGTCATTTAGAGCTGGGAGAAGCGTAATCAAATGTGAATTAAAACTCTCCCACTGTGAATGAGAAAGAGACCCTAGAAGGAAAATTACAAGGAAAGGGACCCAGATATCATGTCTCTACTTTTAGAGCAAAAACCTTGGTGTGTATACATGTGTGCAGGAAGCACGTTGTATCCAGTGAGCTGTCTCCTTGAGCTCACTTTACCGCAGTGAGGACAAGGAGGAAGAACTGTAGCCATGGCCCACTGTGGTTCCTCGGGGATGGTGGTAAACATGTTGACAGAGGCAGGAAATTGTGGATGTTCTACCTGTTACTTCACAGTTACCATTTCCACAGAAAGGAATGCTTTCCGAAAAAAAATCCCCTGAACTCCTCTTCCCATTTTTGCTTGCTTGTTGCTCAAAATAACACATGAATAGGTCCTTCTAGAGGCAGTGTATAAAGTAACTGCTGTAACAAAAGCCCAAGGCTTATCGCCACACTAAAGGCTGACTGCCGAGCACAGGACAAAATTATGGAAGAGTCCGAGAAACTGGACAACGGCTTCTGTTGTCCCATCTTCCTCTCTGCTTTGGTTCCAGTATGTGACCACTCAATGTTCCTTCACTGCGTTGGGATCTCGTGCCATGTATGACTCCCTTCAGTTTTCTAACAGGCTGTTAATCTACGATCTCTCTGTTTCTCTGGCTGATGTGGAAAGAATTTAGGACAATTAGAGAGTCAGTGGTGGCTAACAGAAGCCAAAAGTGTCACGGAAGCAGTTACCAGCTACATTCAAAGAGATCCAAAGCCACTGGGCTGCATCTGGGAGACGGGTCGCATGCTGAAATCCAGGTTACAAGAAGCACAAGATGAACTAAGCACAACCAAGCGCTAGCTGGTCTGAGCAGAGATGCACACTGTACTGAACACAGACAACAGAAGAGGGAGCTCAGCCCTGAGCTGACCTCAAATATAGAAATCTCTGTATGAAGTCAGGTGGTGATGCCACACACCTTTAATCCCAGCACTCGGGAGGTAAAGACAGGCAGGTCTCTGTGAATTTGAGGCCAGCCTGGTCTACAAGAGCTAGTTCCAGGACAGGCACCAAAGTTACAGAAAACTCTGTCTTGAAAAAACAAAAAACAAAAACAAAACAAAACAAAAAGTCTCTGCACAAGCCAGGAAGACATACATCTGTGTTATTCCAGAGACCAGGAAATCTGGATCAACATATAGCAGTCACTAGGAGATTTCAAGCCAAGCTAAAGAAAAAGGTCTTTCTGATCACGGGAGTCCCTGTTAGTGAAGTGAGTTACTTCAGGAGTATTTAAGCCAGAATTAGACAAGGATCTGCTGGTAAAGCTAATGGGGGGGGGGGGCTTGCTGCCCACAGTGGGAGGATGGACTCACTTAACTTGGAGCCTGAGGTCAAGGCAAGAGCAGCTTACCTGGCAGAGGGAAACGTTTGCATAGGGCTTTGCCTGGGCTTCCAAGTGTGCCTTGGCTTCTCTCTTATCTCCGTGCACAAGCAGGATCGGTTTCTTCCTGAAAAGAGATCGGAAATGTTTAAAATGCATTGTTCACAAAGCTGGCTTCTTGCTTCATTGAGGAACAAAAGCTGCCTAGAACCTGCCGTCTGTTTCGGACCTTTGTGGCGAACATCATGTGACTGTCGGTGCTCACGCTGAGTTCCCAAGCCTGGTCCACTGTGATACAGGTGAGTGACAGCTCAAAATTCCTGAGTATTGGTTTTCCTTGGTTCAAAAGAGCACAGAGGGCCCTGTGCTCTTGTTTCAGATGGTGCCTACTAAAGATATGGACTGGCGAGATGGGTCAGAGGGCAAAGGTGCTGCCGACAAGGCTGATGACCTCAACTTGATGCCCTGGAACCCACATGGTGGACGGAGAGAACCAACTTCTACAACTTGTCCTCGAAACACAAGGGTATTTTGCCATGTGAATATCCACGCATATACATACTCACAGACACAAAATACATAAATAAATAAGTGAGAATTAGTAAAAAAAAAAAGACAATTTTCCTATATAGTGATGTTGATGCCTCCTTTTCTCCTTGTCATAAACCAATAATAGTCTTATATTTCCCCCCTGCACCTATTCGCCAAGCATTTATTACATGCTCTATGTACTGTGCAAGATCTAGGACTCAAAAGTGAACAGTCCCAAGCCCCCAGCAAGGTGCAAACTTGCTAACGGGCAATTATGGCAAATTCTAAAGACTATAAAATGTTCTTTAGGAACACATTAAGAAGGCCTTTTCTGCTTAGGTATTTTGAGACAGGGTCTTGAGATGTACTGCAGGGGACTAAGGAAGAACCTGGGCCAGCTGACTCTGGCTTCAGGGGCCTCAAGCATTGCTTGGCTTACAGATGACATTCTCCTTGTGAATGCAGTCTTCCCTGTCGCTGTGTCCAACCACTTCCTTTTCATAAGGTGCCAGCATGTTGGATTAGTGGCCACCCAGAGAACTCATTTCAATGTGACTAATGATTTCTGGGACGACCCGACCTATACATGTAGTTACTGTGGAGGTATCGAGACGTAGAAATCCAAAAGATCAAGGCACTAAAGACATGATAGCCCACACCTGGTCAACACCATGGGAAGGTGACATTTGATTTCAAGATTCTTGAGAAGCAAAGGGAAAAAGACCAGAAAGCAACAGTGTGAGGTTTAGGGACCGCTGCCAAGAAGGGCTGGAGGCAAGCACCAAAGTACTCCCATACAGCCAGTCTCTCTTTTCTGAGCGAAACTCTGATTTCAAGGTGGACTCAGTTAGAAGACTACATATACAGCCTTAGACATGGCTCGTGTCACGTGACTGAGCTCTGTTCCACAAAACAGAAGTGACTTGGAAGCAGCCAGATTGGCGCAGAGTGGCACACATGGAATATGAGCTCCCTCTTTTTTATCCTCCTTCCTGCTACCTGGAAAACGGACAAGTGGACTGGATCTTAGGTTGTCATCCGGGACCAGGAGGTGACTCTGGAGACTGAAGTCAAACCCCAGGAGGGTGGGACAGAATGACAGAAAAGGTCACAGAAAAAACCCGGGCGCTCTCTATCCACGTCACAGACAACCACTATTTGGAGTTTAGACTGCAAAGAATTTATTTTAGCTTATTTTTTTTTAATTTTAGCTACTGTTATTTTGAGTTTTCTGTTAATATGCAATCACAGCAAATGTTCTTTTCTCCAACCAAATACAAGGCCTTGAGTGGCAAAGCTGATGGAGAAATCTCCACATTTTACACAACGCCAGGGGTTTCTGCGATTCTGCGATGACGCATTAAATGCACCGAGGTCTTGAAGATGGCATTCATTCTTGTTGTGTCTTCCTCCATCCTACTTACTGCTAGGGGATTCTGCGCAAATCTGTGTTATAGACACAAATGTGTCACATGCAGGGCTACATTTGCTTGGTCTGTATTGCTTCACAGGAGGCTGAAGAATTGCCAGAGGCAGCAATGAAAGCCTACCAGCACCACAGCTTGGGTCAGGGACGGTCATGGTCCCCTTTCTTAACTTCACATACAGTTCTTGAAGAATCATTTGGGTTGGCACAAAAAGACCATTAGAAAAGAACAGCTCTGATGTGCTGAGCCAAGCATGCGTGGCATGCGGGCAATGTCTGGGCATACGAACATATCTAGATATCACACAGAGATGACTGTTTCCTTCACATTAACACTGCCCATGAAGTCCTGTTACTTGAGTTGGAATTTGTCCTTTTCTACTTCTGGAAAGAGAAAAGTGGAAAATGCTAAGTCTATGAAAAGAATGTGTATGATGAAATAGGTAAAAAGTGTTTTCAAGCAGAGGCAGTAACTCATTTGATAAGTGTAAACATGAAGGCCCGAGTTGGATTTCCAGAACCTGTGTAAAAAATGCCATGATGTGGGATTCCCCTCTGTATGCTGTGAATATGTTTATCACCATTGGTTAATAAAGAAGCTACTTTGGCCTGTGGCAGGGCAAAATAGAGCAAGGCAGGAAAACTAAACTGAATGCTGGGAGAAAGAAGGCAGAGACACCATGTAGCTGCCAAAGGAGACAGAGACCAGTAAACCATGAGTAGCATGGCAATACATAGAATAATAGAAATGGGTTAATTTAAGATGTAAGAGTTAGTTAAAAAGAAGCCTAAGCTAATAGACCAAGCAGTGTTGAAATTAATATAGCTTCTGTGTGATTATTTTGGGTCTGGACAGCAGGGAAATGAACAAGCAGTCCCAGCCTACAATGCCAGGCATAGTGGTGCACACACTTGTAATCTACAGTTGGGGAGGTGGATATAGATAGGTCCCTGGGGCTGGGATAGAAAAACAAAACAAAACAAAACAAAACAAAACAAACAAACAAAAAAACTCTCAAAAAACAGAATAAAATATAAAAGAGAGGAGAAGATGGCCCTTGAAGATAAATACTGAAGCCGACACACACACCCTCATCCCCCAAAACTAAATGAATAAAATGCTTTTCTTACAAAATAAATGTTTTCTGTTCACAACAACATAAAGTGAAATATGGGGAGATGGGTGCCTAGTCCGAGAACTCCAAGTCTCGCATCCTACCGTACTATTTGCACTCTGGCATCAAGGGACTCACCTGAATTCTGGTGGGTACTGCTTTATGAGCCAGTCCACGTCAAAGCAGTAGTTAAACTAGAAGGGGCGAAAAAGAAAAGTAAGCACAGGTGTGTTCATAAGAACTGTTATCAAACAGTTTCTAAAGCAACCACATGCTACAGTGTTCATAGATCTAGACAGTTATGCTGCAATATGTAAAAGTAACCCCAAATTTCACCTTGAAGAACACTTGGTTAAAGGAATCTGCATAAATGAAGCCAAATGCCCAAAATATGTTCTACAGATATTATCTGCGCGTACTTCGGCAACATTTCTATTTGTCAGAGACAAAGATACCAGGACTTTTAGGAAGGCCATTTCCTCCTAGCACAACTGTAACATGACGGCCTGCTTGTTGGGGTTTCTGTCCCACCCGGTACCCCACAGCTGGCAAGTCCCAAAGAAAATCACATGGAGTCTACATTAGGTTATAAACAAGTCCCAAAGAAAATCACACACAGGACTCCATAAGATTAGAAACTGATTGGCCCATTAGGTCAGGCTTCTTATTAGTTCTTGTAACTTATATTAATCCATTATCATTATCTATGTTAGCCACACGGCTCAGTACCTTTCTCAGTGTGACAGCTCACATGTTGCCTCTTCGGTGGTCTAGGCAGGAATGGCGGAGGGAGCTTCCTGCTTCCCAGAATACACCCAGTCTCTTTGCTCCACCCCTACTTCCTGTCTGGCTTTCCCACCTATACTGCCTGCCTGGCCAATCACCGTTTTATTAAAATATGATTGACAGAATACAGACAATTCTCCCACACCACACAACTTATCAGTTAACCTGGTACACTCTAACTTGTTTGTAACTAGTACCTACTGAGCACAACTCCATAAGCGTTATATTTATGAGGAAGCCTCCTCTTTATGCCTGGCCAATCCTGGGCCCAGGACCTCAAGTCTAGCTGAGAGAGAATGCACGGATACACCTCATTTGGTTCTATTTAGAGATCAGGACCACATCATACAGGAAGGTGGCACCTCTGCTTGCTTCAGGAATAAGATCCCCCCCCCCTTTTTTCTGACTACTCCTTGAACTTTTGAACCATTAGGATAACTTGTCAGTACCAAGGGACCAGCTCAGTGAGGCAAGAGCCCTGAACATGCAGAAGTAGTCACAAATTCTACTGACTGTTTTTTGGTCAGTACAGAACATTCATTTTTCTGAGGCTTGGTCTTCACCATGTCACCCCAGGGAGCTGCACCAGCAAACCATGAGGGAGGAGATATTTCTCTCTTTCAGGTAGGAATATGAGTGACATTTTGGACAGACCTTGTGGCCGGGTCAAGAGTCAGGTATTTTCCTTTGAGCGGCCTCTGTGCTCTGTGCTGATGGGGCTTAAGTGAGAAACGCCACGCATGGATTCCCAGGCTCTAGGCAGATGCCAGCTTAGGGGCCACTGTACAGGACCGAGAAACCCATCTCCCGTCACATATCTCTCCTCACCCAAAGAAAAGACACTTTACCATAAACTCACCTGAGCTGAAGAGACAAGTGTTCCAAACAGAGGAGATAAAATATCTACAAAGACAAAACAAATGGATTCTCAGGTAAAAACCCTCTATACAGCCACCACGTTTAGCAGCCAGTGACAATCAAGAAAAGAGTAAACTAAAAAGCTAATACAAGGCTAGGTTGTAATATTCTGTAAAACCCATGAAAATATTTTTATACGACTTAATATTTATTACATTCTTTGAGAAAGTAGAATGTAAAAGTAAAATCTAAAACTTAAGTCCTGGATGACTGCCTAATTTGGGGCTCTGTTGATGCGTCATTCATGACTCCCATTCTTCCTGGACCTCTGAATCTTTACCTCCCTCCGTACCATCTACGCCCACAATGGTGTTCCCTTGTAGTCAGAGAGTACTTGCTTCCCAAAACAGGACACATCCTTGGTACCGTAAGTCACCTCTGGGACATCCCATGTGGTTCCCCCCTCAAGACTGACTCTGGACAGATTAGAAAGGGCGCTGTTCATTAACTACACCACAATCACCACCATCTTGCACCTGTATAGGACTTCTGAGGGGACAGACACCATTCTTAGCATTGAATGAATGAACTCAATCCTCCCAGGAGTTTTGAGGTCAAGTGTTACTCTTCCTTTTTGGATAAGGAATATCTCAGAAAGATGCTGTATATGACCATCCAGCTGCAAGAGTCAGAGAGCTAAGGTTTGACCCAGGGTGTCTGGCTCTAGGTTGCTGGTACCTACTGAGTTGCTTCTGAGAAGGAAGTGGACTAGTTCACTTATTTGACAGTCACTGGGTGCTTCCTGTTCTCTAGACTTTGGGCCAGATGTAGGGGTACAAAGAGTTTGAAAGAACAAACTAACTAGCAGGAAAGCTCCTCCTTATTTTGAGACCAGCAGAGTTAGGAGATAAGTTGCAAAACCGTCTTCCAGCTGCCCCCCTCCCCCTATCTGCACCTCCAGCTTTTTAAACTTCGCTCATTTCCAGGGTCCACTGGAAGGCCCCTGTCCTCCATGAGATTTAAGGGAACCTACAGTTATGGCTAGTGTTAGCAGGATACATCAAACAGCATGGATTTAGATACAAGAAGAACTGGATTCAAGTGTGGTTCTACCACTTAGCAGCTCTGTGACCTTCTGAACTTCAGGTCTGTCACATGTCCAAGGACATCTGATCATCTTATTAGACTGCTCTGACAATTAGAATATATGTAAAGCCCTCGTGACGGTATCTCCCCCTCCTTAAATCTTGCTGTTGAGAGCAAGTTGTTACTATTGTATTTCATACAGTAGTCTTTCCATACTACTCCATCGTTTCCACCGGCCACTATCTTACATATCTCAGGGTACCCACAGAAGAGATGCTCAAAAATTTGTAGAGCTGGACTCACTACTATAAAATTAAGCCCACCAACATGTACACATCACACAGGAGAATATAGGGTACTAGCATGCATTTGATAAGAACAACTACATTGAGAATAAACAATCTATGCTGTGAGTATGAGCCAGGAGAAACACTGATGTAACAGGAGGCTTATATTGTTCATCTGCCATAAGAATACGGGAGCTGCTCACGTCACGTACCTACTCTACTCTGGACCCTCATCCCACACTGTCTGACCCGTAGCACGGATGAGTGGCCAAAAGGGATGTGCCCCTTGAGTCCACACCTTCCGCTATTCCTCCGTGGAATGCAGAAAACCACTAGCGGCCATTCTCTGCCTCATACCTGAAGCATCCACCTGCATACGACAGGGCTCATTTCTGCTTCTTTATCATAAGAACCCAAACCAACTTTCAAGGCTCTCAAACACCACCAGGCACTGTGAGACCCTGGAGGCTTAGAGAAAGCATAGGTGGCAGGCCCAGACCCCCAAGAGTTTGACTTGATGAATCTAAGATAGAGTTGAGAACTGGCATTTCCAAGGTCCAGGTGATTCTGATGCTGCTGGCCCAGGGACCATACGGAGCCACCACGAAGCTTGTGACACTTAGCAGCGCCACCAGGCAAGTTTAGTCCGCACTTGAAAGTTAAACAATTCTAAGCACTGTACCTAGTGTTACTAGGGGCTGGGCTACGGGGGCCTTGAGAAGGACTCTTGGATCGCCACCTGTCTGCACTCAGGGTGAACATCCCTCCCCACCAGTTAAGTAGTTAGATGGGTTCTTCGAGGCCATTCTAAGCTGTGCTTCCTTGCTTTACCAAGAGGGAAATGGCTCACCAGCTCCTGAGAGCCTTCGTCCTTACCCTTGATGTGGAGGGCTTTGGAGTTGTACTTTGCCTTAATCCCTGAGACTCTGGTGAGGTAAAATTGGAAGGGGTTCCTTGTATCCAGCATGTCCCAGATGTCCTGGCCTTCCCCTGAGGTCTCGTACTCATCCTCAGCCCTCTGGGGCCCATGGCTGGCAGGAGGGCTGCGATGGACAGCTTGCTGGGCGGTAGGCATGTTGGGCGAGGAGGAACGTTTTTCCTCTTGGACCACAGTGTCTTTAGGCTGGTCGCGCTGTGTCTCTGGCTGCGGCTCGTCATCGCTGCTGGACAGACACCAGCCGAGACCTTCTGTGGCCTCACTCTTCTGCCTTTTGGCGGGTAATGTTGAGTCTGCGCTGCTGAACTTCACAGGGGAGAGCTTTCTCTTGTGTGTAACCTTGCGGGCCTCTGAGCAGGTGTACACAGGCCCCTTCACTGCTCCCTGCCCAGCCTGGGGGACAGACGATGTTGACGCCTTGTCAGGTCTGGGCTTTTCATCCTCACTTTCATCACTACTGGATATTGTCCACCTCCCATAGCTGCTTTCCTGGGTCATTATACTTCTGAAAAGGAATGATGGAAACATTATTTTCTATTCAATGGTCAACTGGCAATGTAACTTTACTGCTCTTAAATTCCCGGTCAGAGGAGAGACACGCAGGACTTCTGTCCCCAGAGGTTGAGCTTCTTTCTCTAGCACCCGGATCTCTTACGTGGGGCTGATAGACGAAAGGGCGCATCCTGGGCACCTTCTTCCTGCTGCCTTTCTAGCTAGACCTTGCTCTTAGAAACCCTGGGAAGGGAGTTAAGGTTAAGGCCATCTTAAGAAACCTTTAAGAATAATTCTGACCATGCTCATTTTTCTTTTTATTTTTTTTTGGGGGGGGTACTAAACTTAGGGCTTTGCGCTTGCTAGGCAAGCTCACCATTAATTTAAAACAATTACTCTACTTGCTATTGTGTATAGAAACAGCTATATGTTTGGGGGAGTGGTATGGTGTCTTGTGATGTGGAGGTCAAAGAACAACTTGCAGGAGTCTGTTCTCTCCTGCCACACGGAACCCAGGGATCAGACTCGGGTCATCAGGGTTGGTGGCAAGCACCTTTACCCACTGAATCAATCCACTGGCTCAAATATAAATATGCATTTGTTGGGGGAGGAGAGTGCAAATGGAGGTCAGCAAACAACTTAAGGCACAACTTCATCTCTCTCCCATGTGGGTCCCGGCGACTGAACACACCAAGTCAAGCCTGGCACCTTTACACACTGTGCCAGCTCACTGGCACACATTCCAATTTTTAAAGTAAAAGTGGAATTTACACATTCATCTTCATGTGTGTACAGGTACCCACAGAATTCCATTTCCAAAGCCAGGGGCCTACATTAGCTTCGGCGAGCCTCCACGAGGAATGCCGAGTGACCACTTCTGCGTGTGCAATTTCTACACACTGAGGACCCAGCTCATTTCGGATTGTCATCTTACTGGCCCCGCCGTGACTCAAATGACTGAAACCTGCAGACTGAGACTTGAACTGAAGCCAAACACTTTTCAGTTTCCAAATTGCACAGTTGGTCTAATTCATACTCTCTTGCTCTCAGAAGAGCAAAATATAGGATAGATGGACTTTTGGTGTTGGCTACAAAATGCATTCAAGCTACGCAGCAAAGAGCTAAGTGGGTTTTCCCGCAGTTCCCTCACGTGATGCCAGAACTCAGAGAAAACTAAATAAATGTTCAGAAATATGTGCTCCTGGGGCCTGGGCATCTGCAAGGTTTGTTTCACAGCTGAAGAGGATGCCTCATGGGTGGGGTAACCCAAACAACAAGAAGCAGTTCTCCAAGGAACTTGACTTGTAACCCCCACCCACTAAAAACAAAAACCAAAAAAACCCCACCTCCCCCAAACAAAACAACACAACACAACACAACAACAACAAAAAGAAACATCCAACAAAGTCTCAGAAGTAGAAAAGCGTGCTCTTCCGGCAGGTTTTCAAGTGACATACATGCACATTTCAAGCTAAACAAACAAACAAAAAACAGTTTTAAGGTATCCATCACATTTCACAATTTCTCCCTTACCCAGCTTCAGTCAGCTCCATTGATTCACACAGGTTTCTTCTGGAGTTACTTTCCCAGGAGCTCTTATACAGAGAACACAAGACATCCTTCATAACTCACTGTTACACTTAACTCCAACAGTCCAGGGCAGCACACACAGCCAAAGTGTGGGGGCTGCAGAATGGGTGGGGTGACCTGCCCCTGCAGTAATAGATGACCCCAGGCTCACATGTGTTCTGAACTCGAATCTGCTTTCTAAAAGGTTTGCTAGTTTCTATGAGAAATGAGCCCAGCTCATTTCTAGAGACTGAGAGCACTCAGGTTAGTAGGGTTTTTCCTAAACAGTTTCTGATCTAAGCGGGTTAAGAAACCAGCTGTGGCAGGTGTACTGTGCCCAGGGCAACAGGAGACTTTACCGAAATCTCACACCCCTTATTCTAGACTCTAGAGGTTGGTGGACAGAACCCCTTAAGCAGACTGATTTGCTCTGAAGGGACTACTTAATCCTATGAATTTAAAAGGACCACATAAAGAAAAACTCTGGGTGAGAGTTCTAGCTTCCTTGAGCTCTAAACCAGTGTAGCAAGTGAAAGGAATTTGCTCAGGTCACTCCCAGACCAAGTTCTCAGCACAAAGGAGATTTCATTTGTCCCTCAGGGACAAAGTACTACCTCTGGCTAGAGGGGAGACAGAAGTGGCCCATAGATAAATGGTGGTTATAAAGGGGGAAAAGGAAAGCCCTTGTAAGGATGAGTTAGTTTGATTTGATTGGGCATGTTAATTAAGGTAACCAAAAGGGGGCTTTTGATTACTGGACTTCAATACTTTGATAGCTGGACCTTGGTGGTCAGACACAGGAGGAGGAGGAGGAGGTGGCAAATAAGGGAACAAACCTTGGTGGCTAGCTTTAGGAATGTAATCTAACAGCTTTGCAAAACGGAATGGCGGAAGGGCAATGCCTGCCAGAGCCACATTTGCCACATTAGGGCCTGCTAGGTCCCTTCAGCAAGGAATTTAGTAAGAGAATCTTCAATTAAGAGTTCTCAGGCTGGGTGTGTATAGTCTCAAATCTGTGGCAAAAGGATCTTGAGTGTGTGGCTAGCTTGGGCAATGTAGCAACAGTGAGGCTAGCAAGAGCTACACAGAAAGACTGTTTCAAAACTAAGTCAACAGAATTCTTCTTTAAAAAATTATGTGAATGCCTGTGTCTACAATGAGTGTAGGTACCCTCAGGCAGCTGGAAGAGAGCCTTGGATCCCTCTGGAGTCAGTTATAAGGTTATAGGTGGTTGTAAATTACCCTGATGTGGATGCTGGGAACCGAGGTCAGGTCTCTAAAGAGCAGTACATACTCTTGACTGCTGAGCCATTCCTCTAGTAACCCTCCTGCCCCCTTTTAATCTGAGGGGTTGTTAGATGCATCTATTTCAGTGGCAGAGACTGGAGATTGCAAGGGCAGTCATAGCAGATAGCTGGGGGTCAGCGGCTAGCCAGTTTAGCCTCGCTGGTGAGTATCAAGCCAGTGAAACCAACCAGCCAAAAACCAAGAACTACAAACATGAGCCACCTGTATCTGCTGCTTTATTAACAATAGTAAGGTAATGGAACCAGCTTAGACACCAATTCGTCGGTGAACGGCTAAGGAGAGTGTGGCACATATACTCACTGAAATTTTACTCAGCTGTAAAGAAAAATGAAATTATGAAAATTTCAGGACAATGGACTGTAGTGATATTTCATTTGTATTTTAATAAATAAAGCTTGCCTGAAGACCAGAATGCAAAACAGCCATAGAGGCCAGGCAGTGGTGGTACACACCTTTAATCCCAGCACTAGGGAGGAATATAAGGTGGGACGAGACAGAAACTCTCTCTCTTTCAGCCTGAAGATTTCACAGAGGTAAGAGCTCTCTAGTGGCTTGGCTGCTTTGCTTTTCTGATCTTCAGGTTGAACCTCAATATCCTTCTCTGGGTTTTTATTATGTGTGCTACAATGGACAGATCTGGAAAATGTTATATTAAATGAGGTGACTCAAACTCTGAAAAGTAAAAAAAACATGTGTTCTCTCATGTGAATGTAGGTTTTGTGTACGTGTGTGTGTGTGTGTGTGTGTGTGTGTGTGTATAAATGGATGCAAATGTCAGTGAAACCTAAACACCTAGAAAGGATATGAAGAGATGATAAAGATGCTGAGGAAACATGGGGGGGGGGGACACACATATCACCTGAAATCAAAGAGGAGACAGGAACAGAACAGGGAAGGACGGGGTGGGGCAGATCTACTAAAAACACACTTCTTAAATGACAAGATACTTTGTATGCTAATTTAAAGTTCTTAATTAAAATTCAAAAACCCCAAACAAATAAAGGCAGCCCGGGTAATGAGGTTGTCTTTTGGCCTCCACATGCACACATGCACCACCCACAGACACAAGAATACATACACAAACGCATACACACACACAACTAAAAACAAAACAGACCCTTCAAAGTACTCAGAATGAGCTACAGACTCCATTCCCAGGGTGTTAAAAATAAAAACACGAAGGAAATTAAGTACTGGGACTTGCTCTCTCTACATTTTTTCTCCATTCTAAAGCAAAAAGCAGGTCTCAGAATTTGGGGTGAAAAATTGTTCTCCTTCCAACCAGAGAAAGAAGCTGTTTGTAGACTTTTGTTTGCTTCCCTGCCGCGGGGGGCCCGGGGCGCCCGTCTTGTCCAGATCTGCTGTGAACACCCTGGGATTTAAGGTGTGCACCACCAAACCCAGTCTTCCCCCCCCTTTCCAATATATGAAATATTTCACAATTTGTATCATCCTTGCGCAGATGCCATGCTGATCTTATCATTCACATGTTGGCTGCTGCAAGGAGCACAGTTTGCAGAGATGCTCATCAACTCTTCCCCAGGTGGATCAATAAATCGGAATCCTGGAACTTGAGCACTCTGAGGAAAGCATCTCTAGTGACACTGAACTCTTTAGACAATTTCTCGAGGGTTACCTACATTTTCTAGAGCCACACGGGGGGCATCCCTACCAATAACACAGAACAAGTTGGTAAAATGAAAACAAACAAACAAATCTCTGAAAAGACATTTCTCGAAAACCAAATCCCTTTGTGTGGTCCAGGCTTTACACATACCGTTGAAGTCTGGAGATTGCTGACATTCAAAACTTTGCCGGAGGGCTGATTACTAGGAAGACAAATAGACTCTGTGACATACTAATGAAATTGTACCTTGTCATTCTGACCACCAGGTCACCAACCTCATTATCAAAACAAGTTCTGCTGAAGAGAGGCTGCTGGGATGCAAATGTCAAGATCATGCAGGAAATGACTTCTAATTTGGAGGACTGGATCTGGTCAGCATCACATTTTACCGCTCCCTCACACTGGACCAGCTTCCTTTTGAAACCTCTCAAAAGCTCCCGAGGCCCAGCTTGACAAGGACATACTACCAACGACTTTGTTTCAGTGGTTTAGTAGGCAGTGCTCAGTACAACAGAAGCCCAAAGTCGCAGCTGTGGTAGGTGACGGCAAAAGAACGACAGTTAGAATACAGGTACACCCCCTGCCCCCACCCAAGTGCCAGCCCGGATTCAGAGCAGTGGAGACACCCGGGACCCGGCACTCACTGACCACACTGATAGCACTCCCTTTCCATTCCACTTCAGTCAAGGGGAGAGCTGTAGTGGGGAGAGATGTTTTGCATTGGCTTCTGAGCTACACTGGTGGGCCCTGGACTCTTCTACACACACCTGTAACCCCTGTTTCCCTGTCAGCAGAACACAGCTTGTGCTTCCACGATGGCTACACCGGCAAAAGAAAATCTACTTTGTAAGATACAGTACTTACATAGGAGCAGATTCAAATAGATATTAAGCAAATCATAGCATATGTGTAAAGAGAATAAATAAGAACGAGGAACCCAGTTGAGGCAATGAAATTTGGCAAACATGGCACCAAGATGAAAAAAAAAATCATGAAATCCTTTCACTAGACAGCAAAACAGAATGTGTTTGGAGGTTTTTATTAAGGCCTTGACAAAAAAATGCCCACGGATGGGCTGGAGATATGTCTCAGCAGTCAAGAGCACTGGCTGCTCTTCCAGAAGTCCTGAGTTCAATTCCCAGCAACCACATAGTGGCTCACAACAATCCATGAGATCTGGTGCCCTCTTCTGGTCAGTAGGCATACAGACAGACAGAACACTGCATACATAACAAATAAATAAATCTTTTTTTAAAAAGTCCTTCCATGGAGGGTTAGAGATTTGGCTCAGTAGGTAAGAGGGTTTGCAATCCGCATTACCCCATCCCCACCACCCATTTAAAAGCCCAGCATGATTCCTATACCTGTAACCTCAACATTGTGTTAGAGACAAGCAAGTCTCAAGAATTCAATGGTCAGGGTAGAAATTGCCATCTTCCTTTCAGTGAGAGACCCTGACTCACAATAGGGTAGAGAGCAATAGAGGGAGACACTCCACAACTGCATACCCATACACACACACACACACACACACACACACACACACACACACGAACACACAGTTGATGCAGTAAAGCACTCCATTTAGAACTTTGCTTCCTCCCCCCCAGCTAAGCAGACCCTGCAGGGTATTTCTGCTACATTTACACTGCTGTACAGACCTTTGAGACCTCTGCACCAAACTCCCACATGGATTGTTCTTCCCCTGACCCCAGTAGTAAGCAGAATTAAGAACGGTGAATGAAGAGTTAACAACATACAGCTTCTATGTAGGCAAGTTTAATTTCGGGGCGAAAGGCACAAATTAACACATAAGAAGTCTAAAAGTCAAGATGATAGATGCTCATTACATTTTACAGGGATAACCTTTCTTTGAAATCATTTCTGGAGCAGCATGTGAGACCCGGGAGGGAAAAGGATTCAGCAGGCTAAAGGACAGGTGAACAGCATTACAGACAGACGGAACTCGACTTGCAAATGGCCAGAGGTGGTAACAAGGTTCTAACTGTACCATAGGATTGGCCCAGAAAGAAGGGGGTGGGAGAAGTAAGGTAGGTTAAAAGGCGAATTTTATTCTAAAAACAATGGAACTCCCACTCCGTGTTTTAATTAACCAGAGTGCCTTGGCCCGTTTAACCTTTTAAACTGAATATATCCGGTACATCTCTTTGAACAAAGACGCTTCTTCTGCAGGGGCTGGGGGTACAGGGTGCTTAAGATGGCCATGGAGAAGTGGGTAATTTGAGGGTACACTAAGCAAATCGTGAAGCTGTCAACTTTCCGGGGCGCTCAGCTCTGCCCACAATTCCAAGGGTACAGTCTCATTTCACCCTTAAGACAATCCCTATTTCACAGCCGTCCCCCGATGTGGAAACTGAGGGCAGAGCGGCTCAGAGCCTACCCCGTGGGGTGCCCCTCGCCTTTGCAGAGCGCCCCAGGGGGCAAGGGCTGCAGGATCCCGGGCTCGGGGAGGAGGGGACCGTGCCCAAGGACCGCGACCTCGCGGTCGGCCCAAGCCCTGTAGGCCTTCCAACTATCACCTCGGATCGCAGCGGCGAGCGCGCCGCCATCAGGAGGGCGGGCGCAGAGTTACCGCCGCCGCCAGAGACCGCCCCGAGCCGGCGCCCGCAGCCGCAGACACCTACCTGACCCGCCAGTCCTCCGCCGCCGAGACCCCGCCCCTCGGCGCGCCCGCGCAGGCGCGTGATTCAAACCTGCGGGCGCCGCCGGCCAGCAAGCTGCTTCCACTTCCGGATGCTCGCCGCTGGGTCCTAAAGCCCGCCGTATTCGCGGGAGACCTAGAAAAGGGATGCTTGGGCGCCTCGGTAAACCTAGTGTCGCTCCCCTCAACTCTCTCAACGCTGGTTTCCTGTTGACTCATTAAAACAGAAAGCTGCCCGCTAGCTTCTCGCCTAGTTAATTAGCAAACTACACCCCGCTCTCTGGGACTGCTCTCAGGCAGCCTCAGGCTCCCTGGGCTGAGACTGCCGCCTGCTTTCGAAGATGTGTGGGCCGAAGTAAAAGGCAGCTGCTGCAGATTTTAACATCTACTGCAGGATGGAAAGTTAAACGAGTTCCCATAAAATACAGAACCTCGAATGACTCTCCTTTGAAACGGGCGTGCCCGTCAATCTCACCGATCTGCCACAAGGGTAGATACGTCTAGTATAAGCCTGTCTGTGAACCGCAGGTCCAGTGCATTATTCCTCGTCTTGTATAAAGATGTCTGCGGTGGGATTCTTGTTTTATTCCTTGAGTCAGTCTCGTTGCTTCCCGCGGGGTTGACTAATTCTGTGTAAACACTCTAACGGGTCATTTCGTTTAATTGTCCTAGACAGTATTAAGTGCTGGGGTTACCAAGAGGGCGAAAGTAAACATAGTAGCGGCCCTGAGAACGCCGTGCAGTGGCTTGGTTAAAAAATGAAACCTGGAGTTAATTTTTATATGTGTATGCTTTCTTCACATTCTTCTTTTGTCTTCTACAAAGTCTATCGCAAGTTTGGTAGAAAGCCTGAAAGCAATCAAAACACGTCAAAAAAAGAATCTATAAGTCACCAGACGTCCCTCAGCGGCGTTCAAGGAGTCAAGAAAGCCGAGAAGGGGCGGGACTAAGAGCCTGGGGGCGTGCCTTGGAGCCCCTCCCCGTTGTTAAACTTGCCCCTTTGACCAATGACACTACGAAATCAACGCCAGTGGCTCGGAGGCTGGCCAATGGGAGGAGACGTTGGAGTTGCGCGGCGAAGTTGAGGCTCAGCGGAGGTGGGCGTGGCCGCGGTGTGAAGTTAGCTTTCCCTCGGGAGAAGTTGAGGTGCCGGGTTGCCTGGGCGGTGTCTGTGTCGGTGTCCGCATCCGTGTTAGTGGCGATGTTCTCGTCAGAGGCAGGCGCCAGGCCGCGGGCATGCGAAACCAGCGCCTCGGAACGCAGGAAATGGGTGGAAGTAGGTGCAGGAACGCGCCCCGAGCTCGGATTCAGCTTGACCAGGGCCACTTCTGTCATTACTCCTGGGCCTCCCTTAGCGAGGTTCTAATCGGCCTTGAAAAGAACTGTGTTTAAAACCAAGTTACAGCTGCAGGACTCTGATTTACCTGCCCACCACACCCCTACCTGCATTAGCATCTCTCTTCCCCTTTGCGTCATCTTCCGAATCCCAGGACTGAACTTTTGTGTGGTTTATTTCAGTGATTTAGATGAGTTGATTTGTCAGTCTAGAGATCCAGACGCTTAAACTTTGCGGGTGGAGGCTAGAGAGAGATGATCTTAACTCAGCGTTTCTATTGCTTGAGAATTAAAACTGGGGTAATGAAACCGCATTTTAAAAGCCCCACAACCAGATGGGGTTCTACATGTTTGTGTTTCTGGCTTCTGGCTAATTGTAGATGTCTAATATTCCTTAGGTGTTTAAAGCATGTGATGAAGACAACAAAGGCCACCTAAGCCGAGAGGACTTTAAGATTGCGATTGTAATGCTGTTTGGATACAAACCCTCCAAGGTTAGAACTTGGTTTCTCCTCCCTTCTGCTGCTGCTCTCTCGTCTTCTTGCCTCTTTTGCTCCCATCTTTGGATAGAGTAGATAATGCTAGAGAAACGTGTCATAAGAAAATAGACCAGTACTTCTTTCTGGTATCTATAGAGCAAATTTATAAGCTGATTTTTAAGCCATTCCTAAAATGTCCCCCTCCCCCACAAAGGCCTAACTCAGGCACAAATTAAATATTTATACCAGTGAAGCCAACAAAACATCCCCTAAAATTTCTAAGAAATATAGGGTGTTAGAGAGAGTATGCTGGGTGGTGAGGTGGCGTTGTAATAGGCAGAATTCGCTTACTAGCTGATATGTATAATAGAATTTCTGGGCGTCTTTCTTTAATTGATAAAAGTAATACATTCATACAGTGCACAAAATTCCTTCTCTCTCCACTAGACTAGGGCCCCACTTACCATGAAATAGCCAGTTTCTTCTGTATTGTTCTACATACATTTGTAGTTATAGTCTTCTGAAAATATTAGATGCATACTCTTATTTTAACATTCATTTAACGTGTCACATTAGCAACAACTCCAAAGCACACACCATTAAGAACTTAAAAAAATAGGTGTATAGTATTCTCTTTAGTCCATTTTTCTTTGGTTGTTGTTTGAATTAATTTTAGTTCCCGCAAGCATTGTTGCATTCTTGACTTGAGCATCCTTTTATGTCTAAACACACACACACAGGTTATGTCTTTGTGGCTATATATATATATATTATATTCTCATGAGCCTTACCCCCTTCCCTTGCAGAGTGTTAACAGAACCAATCATGTACAGGTATCGCAGGTGTTATCAATTCAAGAGTACAGAAGCCATGTCTTGCCCAGAAATCGGTATTGCATCTCTGGTTCCTTCGCTTCTTTCTATACTGCTTCTTCCACAGTGGAGGCTGCATTTGAAACACTGTGGCTGTTACTTTCCCATAAGCACTGCACGCTTCCCCGGTAATTAGACCACAGCTAAACCCCCAATGAACCTTCTATTTCAGTAGAGTTTCCTGCTTACCCTGTCTTTGTGCTGCTCTGCTTGCCTGTTATAAGCAGTCTAGAGAGGGATCCATTTTTGTTAAGCTGCTGAACTGGAACTAAGCAGAGTTAAGACACTGTCCAGATTCAAAAGAGTAAACTCCAAACATCAAGCAGAAGCAGCACTCGTCCGCCTAGAATGCCCTCCGCTTTCCCAGAACTGACAGCTAGGGCTCCCCTGCTCCTCCAGTCAGTGTAGCCAGGGACTCGGTGATATCCCATTTCTGTACCCTTCCGTGCGCTTGAGTGCACCACAGCTCATATATTCTGACCTCCCCGCCACACACACACGTAAGTTTTGCAGACAGCTTGCAGGATTCCGAAGGTCAGAGATGCTCAGCTCCTGAGAGGCCAGTTAAGAGTTCAGAGTGCGAGCCTGGACTGGCTCTGAAATTGCAGCAGCCCTGCTAACCTGCAATCATTTCACACCGGAGCCCCAAGGCATCAGATGGCCTGAAAAGGCTGAATGTTTTAAAGCATTGTAGTTAGCCCGGGCTCACCTGGAAAGATAGCTTATTTCCTTTTGCTTTTTATGCCCCGTGAGTCTGTTTTAGCTGTTGACTGGGTGAAGGATTAAATGACAGGTACAGCAGTGTGGTCATGTACATACACTTGACAAAATTTGACAGCTTTTACTTTGCATACTGGATTGAGTTAAAAAAATAATGTAAGTTAAAAACAGATTATTTGTGTAGATGGGTGTATATTGGGTAGTTTGTGGAGGTCAGAGAACAGTTTATGGGAGTGTGTTCTTTCCTTCGACTGTGTGAGTCCCTGGGGTAGCTCAGGTTACTAGGCATAATAGAAAGTGCTTCCTGAGACACCTTACTGGCCCTCACATTTTATTTTTAGGAAAATGACATATATAACTGGTTACAGGTCAGTCAACAATCAAGCAAGATCATAGCAAAGCACCTAAACACCTGCCAGCCATGTATACAATAAACTTTTTTCAGAAAGGAAACATTCAGTTATTTTTGTTTTATATACATTGGTATTTTACTTACATGTATGTCTGTATGAGGGTGTCAGATCCCCTGGAACTGGAATTACAGACAGTTGAGCTGCCATGTGGGTACTGGGAATTGAACCTGGGTCCTCTGGAAGAGCAGCCAGTGCTCTTAACCACTGAGCCATCCTTCCAGACCCCAATGTATACCTTCTTGTATTTTAAATTTTATATGAGATTAAGTGCTAGAGTTGAATTCTTAATGCCATGTTTGATTAAATAAAATACTTATTTTAACTCAGCAAATTAAATGAGACATATAAAAATCCCTAACATAGAGAATGTGATTTTTGAAGAATTAACTGTGAATTGTTATTTTAGACAGACATCACACTACAATAGCATTTCATAAAGGACTTCTATAGTAAATCATTTATACATTGATGTTTGCAGAATGAGTTTATTAAGTCTATTTAATCAGAGCTGTACTTAGTAGTTGCTGGGAATATAAAGATGAATAGACACAGTTTCTGCTTTGAAGCATTTTTGTATAGAGCTTAGAAAGCAGATAGACATCCAGATAGATATTTTATAAATAGGAAGGAGGCTAAGGTCGGTGGCAGCGATAATAGGTGTCGTTTAGACTAGAGAAGCTCGGCTAATGTTCTGCGAAGCATCCAGGAGCCGTTTGTGGTGGCGAGATACTCTATGCCCTTGTGTTTGCTCGGAGAGAACATGCTGGCAGTGAGAGTAGTGGCACTGCCAAGCAGGAGTGAATTCAGACGGAAGTGGGTTCACAGGAGTCAGGTGGGTTGAGGTGTTCCCTGTACATTTGATTGTTAGATACTCTGGGGTTTTGAGGTTTTACCTCTTACATATGGGAACCTCATTTGAGTAGAGAGATGGGGCCATAGATAGGTTTGGGGCTATATGTTTATAAGGGACAGCTCAAATTGTAAGACTGAATGGCATTCTAGAGGAAGTTTCTGCAGGGTGTGAATGGCACCATTCCAAGGAAAGAGCTTTGGGGACGCCTGCATTTAAAGATAGGCAGGGAATTCATGACAAAGATGGAGTGGGAACCACCGGGAAGGGACACAAGGAAGCCAGGGAAATGTGGGGACTCAGATTATGGAAGATTCAAGACAGGCACCAGAAAAAAAAAAATGTCAGTTACCATCATGGCTCGGTTTCCTTAGTGTTTACAAATAAAGCCCCTGTCACCAATGGGAGGGAAATGCTTCTGTGTTAACATTTACTTAAAGCAGGCCCCAGAACTTCACATATAGTGTGTTCTCAAATGGTTTGTATTGCTTAGGCAAAAACAAGCAAAAGGGTAGATAGACCAAACTGTTGACTGTGGTATCCACTGAATTTTAAAATGTCTTCTTTGTAATGTATGCTCTTCTTGTTTCTGCACTGATCATGTATTATTGTTTTATTATATTACCTTCTTTTATTGGTAGGGTTTTACTGTGTAGCTCATGCAGGCTTCAGTCTCTCCCTTCCTGCCACGGTCTCAGAAGTGCTGGAAACAACCACACCTGACTTGGGGTACTTTTAGTCTCCGGAAAATGGAAGGATAAAACTATTGTAACAATTGCTTTTTTTAAAAAAAAATAAAACAGAAAGATTATATTTTAGGTTGTAATCTATATAAGACAGCCAAATTGATTTCATATATTTAAGCTATTGGCCAATGGAGTGAAGTTTGGGGGGGCATTATGGTAGATTATTATCTCTTGTGGATGTTAATGAACAAGAAAAATGACGATCATAATGTCGAGTGAGGTTATTGTCTACTAGGTTCAGTAGAATTGGTTTTACATAAAATACGTGCCTTCCCATACCCTGGGAACTCAGAACTAGTATTTTGAAACATCTGATAAAATTTCACATCCTCTCAATCTTTCCTCTCTTCTAGATAGAAGCGGACTCTCTGATGTCTTCAGTAAATTCCAACACTTCTGGTAATGTGAAAGTTAATATTTTTAGTAGACATTCACAGAACTAAAATTAAGAACAATGTAATTAAGACAGATTGTACACTGTATTTAAACGTCTTTGCTTCTTATTATTCAAAAGAAAAGCTTTAGATTTTAAGAAAATTTTTTAATTTAATGCACAGGTTAATGGGTTTCATTCTAGTGTGTATTTCCATGCATACTTTTTCCTCCTCGTCTCTCCTGTCCCCTCTTTGTGGTCCGCTCCGCACCTCGCAGCCCTATCTGCTTTTATGTAACATGTGTTCTTTAGCTTTCTCTTTTCTTCCTCTCCTCTGTGCTTGAGATTTCTTCATTCCTTCTCATTGTCCCCTTTCCAATTCCATGCCCTGTGTGTAGCCCCCACCCTCACATCAAAAGCCCAATTCCCATATTTGAGAATATTTGTTGTTCTGAGTTTGGCATATTTCACTTAGCATGCAGTTCCATTCATTCCTGCAAATGCCATGATTTCATTTTTCTCTTCAACTAAATAAAATTCCATTGTGTGTTAAATTTTCTTTATGAATTTATCTTATGATGGACTTCTAGGCTGGTTCCATTTCTTAAGTATGAATAGTGAAGCAGTAAATGTGGATGTGTATGCATCTCTGGGAGGACCCAGGAGTTATATAGCCCAGTCATAGGGTAATTCTGGTTTTGGGTTTTAAGAAATTTATACTTCTTTCTATGGTGGCTGCACCAGTTTGCATTCTCACCAGCAGTGACAAAGGCGTCCTCTTTCCCTCTATCCTTGCTACTATTGTGCTTTTTTATGTCTTCCTTTTTGTTATCGGTGTAGATTCATCATACATCATGCTGGGTTTCAACCATATTTGCTGTCTTTCGACCATATTTACTGTCTTTCCAGTCCTTTCCTGCAGCTCTGCTTCTGACAACCTCACCTTAATCTCCTTCCTTTTCTCGGTGTTCTTTTTGCCTTTATGCTGTATGCAAGTGTGGACTTGTCCTCTCTCTGTCTGTCTCTCTCTGTCTCTCCTTCTCTCCCTCCCTCCCCTCCTCCTCCTCCTTCTTCCTCTCTCTCTCTCTCTCTCTCTCTCTCTCTCTTTCTCTCGCTCTCTTGCTCTCTCTCTGTGTGTTGGGAGTTTGTGTATCTATAAAGAATTCTAGGTCCTCTGAATAAGAGAAAATCAGTCTTCCTATGTCTTACTTATTTCATGTAATGGATGGTCTCCAGTTGCGCCCATTTTCCAGCAAACAGCGTAATTTTATCCTTTTCATAGCAGAATAAAACTGTATTGTAGAAGTTGAGCATCAAGTCCTGCATTGAGACATTTGTTTATCATATTTTAAGGAAGCTAATCCAACAAGGGCTAAGTCTAAGAATCTAGAAGTTGCTCAGTCCACAGGGCAGGATGTCTCAGCTGGTTTTCAGTAGATACTGGAATCCTGAAGAAGTAGGCGCTAATGCCAGTGAAGGAATGGACTTGCTAGCAAGGGAGGGCAAGCAGGCAAAGAGTAAAAGCTTCCTTCTTCCATGTTCTTATATAGATTTCCAGCAGAAGGTGTGGCCCGGATTAAGGACATGTCTTCCTGCCTCAATACCAGATTAAAGGCATGTGTATCCTCCTTAAGATCTGGATTAGAAGTAGATCTTCCTACTTCCAAATAAGCAGAAATCCCTCACAGGTGTGCCCTTCATTTTTTTTTTTATTTTAGTTAACTCCAGATGTAGTCAAGTTGACAACCAAGAGTAGCCATCATGTGTAGGGATGTTACCATAGAGTCCTTTAGGGATATACCTCTACTCTTATTCAGCATGGTCCTTTAAATCTTGAGGACTAACACAAGACAGAGAACTGGAAGGGATACAAGTAAGAAAGAAATCCACTTATGCTAATTTGTAGATGATAAGAGGCCCTACAGAATCCATCAGAAAACCCTTAAAAGTGACAATATTCAGTAGGATATAAAATCAAAAGACAAGAATCAGTAGCTTTTCTATATATAAATAATGAATGTTCAGAAAGAAATCAAGAAAGCAATCTCATTCATACTAGCTTCAAAACCAAGCCCAAACAAAACAAAACGAAAAGGCCCAACCAAAAATCCAGGGGTAAATCTGACCAAGGACACAAAATATCTCTGCAGTACAAATTTTAAAACCCTGAAGAAACTGAAGATGGAGCTAAAAGGCAGAAATATCTCACATACTCATGGGTTGGCAGAATCAACATAGTGAAAATGGGTGTACCGGCAATGACAGTGGCACATTTAGTGTAGACCCATTTCAGTATCTCCACTGGACTGGAGGTCCAGCTCAGTAGTTAAGACCACTAAGTGTTCAGGGCACCAGACACAATCTGTGTGGTGTTCCAAGAGTAGAATACTGTCTTCGGAAGCAGCTACAGCTGATGGAGATGGAAAGGCCCAGTGTAGAGATACAGCAACAGTCAATTTAAAAAGTCACCCCTTCGATGTAAAGTGGGAGTGAAGAATCCCAGGCAGCACTGTGTGCACTAAGACGTTAGTTTCTTCAGGTATGGATGTAAGCAAGCAGGAACAGATATAACGATTTGACGGGACTCCGTGTTAATGTGGTTCAGCAACAGCTGCGCTGGGGAACTGTTTGGGAAATAGGTTAACTGTTAATAGTGCTTAATTTTTTTAAAGCTAAAGTATTAGTAATTAAGTGGTAAAATGAGAGTTGGAAAGGGGAATGAGAGAATAAAGCATGAGGAGAGGGAACGTGTTAACGCATGGACTAGAGCTGGAAGAATGTTAGTGTGTGAGTAGAAGCGTGAGGAATAGCAAAGGAACTGTAGACTAGGTACAGACAGAGAAGGGGTGTTCAGGAAAGCTGTATGGTGAGCCATGGAGGTTATGTTCAGACAAGGTGTAAGCCAAAACAGAACAAGTGTGATGGTTTTAATTATCAACCTGACACTGCCTAGAACCTCCTGGGAAGAGACTCTCACTGAGAGACTGCTTAAATCAGATTAGCATGTGGGCATGTCTAGGGAGCATTGTCTTGTCTGTACTGAGGTGGAAGTGGAGAGTGAGCTGAGCACAGGGAACCCAGGCTTTTGTTCTCTCTGTTCTTGACTGTGCCTGCTGCTTCAAGTTCTTGCCTTTTCCCAGAGTGATGGATCATGACCTGGATTTGCAAGCTAAATAAGCCCCTTTTCCCTTAACATTCTGTCTGTCAGCTTATTTTTTTTTGATCATAGCAACAGAAAGGAAACTAGAGTAGGTGAAGTAGAAAAATACCAATAAAGCTAGAAGTAAAAGAGAGAAAATGCAGGAGGTGCTTTAACCTCAGCTAGTATGTCTTCCAACTTGGGTGGATGTGGTTTCTTTCTCCTCCTCGCTTGAATGTTTTCTCGTGGTAATCTCTGCTGATGTGGTGAGGGCTGCTAATTCCAGTTGTTCACGTGGTTTAAGTCATTGTTCCTTCCAGAATTTTCTGCTCTGAGCCCCACACCCCTCATTTCTGGTGTTTGGGGACTCACACTTTCCATGTGGAATTCTGTGTAACTGGGGTTCTGAAGGCCTGGCTGGTTGGATTTACCTCTGTGACTAAGTGTTTATTCCTGGCTGCCCGATTTACTCATGCCTGCCAGGGCAACTGTTGAGTATACTTCTTATGTTCTCTGATACTGGGCATGCCTCTGAGGCATCTTTCTTAATTGGGTTAATGGAGAAGGGAAGATGCATGCTGAACATGGACAGCACCATTGTTCTCTGAACTGTGTGAGGAGAGCGAGCTAGCTGAGCACCAAGCAGGAATGCATTCATTTCTTTCTGTTTTTTTTTCTTTTTTAAAGATTTATTTATTATTTGTACTGTGTTCTGCCTGAATGTACGCCTGCACACCAGAAGAGGGCGCTAGATCTCATTACAGATGGCTGTGAGCCACTATGTGGTTGCTGGGAATTGAACTCAGGACCTTGGAAGAGCAGCCAGTGCTCTTAACCTCTGAGCCATCTCTCCAGCCCCCTCTGTCTGGTCTAGACAGTGAATGAGCAAGTCTGTCGCTGCAGCTTTCCCAAAGTGATGAACTGTGGCCTGGAATTCTGAGCTATAATAAACCTCGTCTCCCCCAGATTGCTTACTGTCAGGGGGTGTCTTATCGTGACAACATAAATGAAACTAAGACATCAACTGTCTTATCAAGAAGTTCTTTTCATTTTGATTTAGTTAATTTACAAGCATGATGAGTTTCTAGTAGAAAATTTTAAGCTATTCAAAGTATGAAGACAAAAATGTCACTTTTAATACCCATCGATACTTCTGTTTTAGTGTGTGTGTGTGTGTGTGTGTGTGTGTGTGTGTTGAGACAGTTACTTGTCCTGTTATTGTGCTAAAATGCCTGACAAACTCAAGTTATGGAGGCACGGATATGTCTTGGTCGGTAGTTCCAGGGTACAGCCCTTCATAGCAGAAAGTCGTGGTGAAGGGAGTTTGAGGTGGCTGGTCACATTTCCTCCACAGCCAGAAATATCAACAAATATTTACACTCAACTTCCTCTCTCCTTTATTTATCTCAAGCCGAAGCAAAGGGATATTACCTCACATTAGGGTGGGCCTTCCGCCTCAGTTCAGCCAACTGAGATGCTCCATCACAGACAAGGCGAGTTTCTGTGGTGACTCTGAGTTAACAATCCAGACCAGCTCTTGTTCTGTAGCCGACACTGGCTACCTAGTTTTGATCTCCTGTCTCAGCCTTCTGCGTTATGGGAACACAGGCGTCCGCTGCCCCACTGTGTCTGGCGCTGATGCTGTTTTCTGAGCTGAGCAGCTGGAGGACAGAGTATTGCTGGAACAGGAGGAATGGGAATGACTGAGGCTAGGGAGAACGAGAGTTCTTTTTTTTTAGGATGTTAAATTTCAGAAGTCTCAATCCATATGTCAGCTCAATTAAGTGCGTATGGAACTCGGGAGTTCTGGGGTGAGGAAATAAAATTGGGAATATTAGCGTGTAGATGATTTTTTTAAAAAATCTTGGATGGGATGAAACTATGTGG